CCAAGCCACCCCAGAGCCCCCCGTGAGGGGCTGCGACCACCCCCACCCCACCCCCCATCACTCCCCGGGCAGAGCTCATCCCCTGGCTCCTCCCGACCCCTCACGCCCCCATCCCCAGCCGCCCCCCGCTCCATACCCACGAGCAGCGCTGGCAGCCGGTGGTCCCCGGGCTCGCTGGCTCTGCCCGGCTCCCGCAGCCTCGCCAGGGCTCGGGGGGAAGCTCCGGGGGGATGCTTTGCCCAGCGAGGCAGCATCGCGGCGGCGCGGGGGGGAGCGGGGGGCGGCTCGGAGCGCGGCTCCCGGATCTGCGCGACAAACACACGCAGCTCATCGCATCCGCTTAAACCGGGCCGGGCACGGTCTGGCTCATCACTTTGGCATTTAAAGCCGCACGCCGGGCCCGGCGGGTCGGCTCCGAGCGGCCGGATCGGGCTGAGGATGATGATGATGATGATGATGAAACGCGGGGTGGGCACCGCGCTCGGGGGAGGGTGGGCACAGCTCTGACCCCGCCAGCGTGCGGCGGCTGTCACCTCGCATCCAGCGCCACCGCTGTCACCTCGCATCCAGCACCACCACCGCCACCTCAAAAACCTCAAAAACCTCTAAACCAGCGCCGCCACCGCCGCCTCAAAGCCGGCTCCGAGTCCTCCTGGCCGGGGAGCGGAGCCGCAGCGAGGCCCGGCGGGCTCGGGCGCTCCCCGCTGCTGTCCCCGCGCTAGCGAGGGGTTCCCAGGGAAGCCTCCATGGCCGACATTCCCCTCTCCCGTCCCTCTGCCAGCTCCCATCGCTTCCCCTCACATCCTCGTCCCCGGTAACTTTTCCTCCCCCGTTCCCGGTTTGTGGCTCCGCTCGGCGCGGGCGATTCTCGCTCTTTTTTCCGCCGTTCCGGAGCTCCCTGAGGGTCTCCCGGGGATTTTTTTTTGTTTGTTTTTTGGTCCCCCCCCTTCCACTGGAAATGTCAGCGTGTCCCCTCAAACGCATCACATGGCAGCAGCCGGGCAGTGCCACCAGCGCCCGGATTGTCGCCCGGTGCCACTCGGGGAGCTCTCGACGTGCTGCCACCACCCCCGGGCGCCACCCCCGAGGCTCCGGGAGCCAGCGCTGGCCCCTGCTGGGGACACCAGGATGTCCCTGATGTCACCGAGCTGCCCAGACCCGGGCACGGACACCCCAGACCTCGCCTGGCTTTAAGAATTCAATTTATTTCTGCTGGATTTAACTATTTCCACGGCCTAAAAAAGAAAAGTCTCAGCGATCCGGGTTTTTTCAAGGTTTTTTTTTTCAGATCTGTGGTTTTCCAGGAGTTTTGCTGATCCCACAGCAGCCCCGAGGGAGCTCGGGGAAGGAATTCCAGCGCTGGCTCCCGGGAGAGCCCGGCTGCATAGGGTTTGTCCCCAGGACACGGCGCTGGTCACTCTGGGCAAGGCCGGGTCACAACCTGGACGGGTCCTGCACGGACGGACCGTTCCCAAAATTCCCAGGGCGAGGAGATTATCCCGAAGGAAGGAGGAGCAGGCGGTGAACACCCGCAGCCCACTCCTGCCATAAAAACATTGTAATTCCAATCGCAATTCCAACATTTTGGGTCTTTTTCTGCCACCCTCGAGGTTCCGGGGCCAAAGGGACCCCAAGACCACCCAACAGGGTCACAGGGTCGCCTTCAGCCCGGCTGCCACCCCAAAACCCGCTGATGCCACAGGATTCAAAGCCAACTCCGGGAATCTTGGGATCGCTAACCTGGAAAAGCCCTGCCAGCATTCCCCCAGCGCTGCCACCACCAACCCGTGTCCCCAAGTGCCACCTCCACGCGGCCCTGCAGGGGTGGCCACTCCAAACCTCCCTGGGCAGCTCTGCCCACCTTCCCCGTGAAGAAATTATCCCAAATATCCGATTTAAACTCCCCCTGGCGCCTTTCCTCTCATCCTAAAACCACGCGGACGCTCTCACCGCGCTGTCCTGTCACGCTGGAAGGCCCCACCCACCTCGGAACTTCCAGCCTTTCCCGGTTTTCCTCATCTTTTCCAGCACTGGGAAGAGGTTTTGGAAACTTTAATCTTATTTCTGCCTCCCCCATTGCCGGCGTTTCTCTCCCTGCCCTTCTGGCATCCCAAAAGTTCTCCCCGAGCCCTGACGGTTCAGTCGGAGCAGGGTGGGAAGAGCTGGGAATTCGGGAATGCTCACATCGGCTTGGATTCTCCCTGCTTTTGACGCGGGGGAAACTGAGGCACGGGTGGAGCAGGACCGCTCTCAATTCCCAACGCCGGGGCAAAGAAGGGAGAAACTCCAGAGCCCTGAGCTCCCACTCGGAGCTTTTCCAGGCTCGCCAACAGCCGCAGCCGTGAGTCACAGCTGGCACAGGCGGCACTCACGACACGAAGAACCTTCCCAAAAAAATTCCTTTTCCTCCCAGCTGAGCGCTCTGGGCCACAATCCCAAAATCCCGCACCCCACACGCACCGCGGGGGATTTTTTTCCCCCCTTCTCTCCCTCACTTTGGGGCCGAGGGAATTTTTCCCCGCACGTTTAATATCCGATATTATCCACGCGAGGTCGGTTCCTGCCTGGAGGAGAGGCGGGAATCGCTCCAAATAAAAAGAAATCAATTTAAAATAAATCTTGGATGGAGCCCGGCCGTGCAGCTGAGGCAGCAAATGGCCAGGAGAGGTGGCCAAGGACACGCAGCAGGACAGGGCCAGGGCCGGGACCTTTGCTCAGGACCCGCAGCTCCAAGGGAAGGCGCTCCCTGCCCCTGGAATAACTCGGGAATGATGAGATTTGAGGGAAAATGCTGGAAAGCCACGAGGATTAAATGTCCTTTCCGCTGATCCCTGAAAACCCGGCTGGCAGCCGCAGGGAGGGCCGGAGGATGCGGTGACCTTTTAGCCACCTTTAATCGCCATCGCGCTGCTGATGAGGGGGAAATGAGCCCCGCTGAGGTCCCAGAGCCGCTCGGGAGCTCCAGCCACATCCCTGTCACCCACGGTCCCCACGGTCCCCCGATCCACAGGGATCGGAGCTGCCACGGGATGGGGGAAGCAGCTCCAGCCGCCGGGTTTATCCCGGGATAAACGGGACGGGGACAGTCCCCAGCAGGGCCCAGGGCAGCATTCCCTGCACCCTCCGGGAGGGAGGAAAACGCCTGGTTTTAAATCCAAACGTCGTTTTTTCCCCCCACTTGGGGCTTTGCTGACTTCCCTGAGCTGGCAGGGTGGTGACACAGGTGTCACCCCAGCGCTGGTGGCACCGCTGGAGCCGCGGGGTGTCCATGAGGCAATTCCCAGGAAAAAGCCGCTAAAAGCAGCTCCGGCACGTCGGGGTGAGACATCTGCATTCACACCTGCGCTCCCAAACACGCTTCTGCTCTCAGCAGCTCCCGCGGAGCCGCTTCCAGCCCCTGCCGTGCCCGCGGGGTGAGGATGCTCTGCTGATTCCCTGCTCCACTCCCTGTTCCGTTCCCACTCCATTCCCTGCTCCCTACCCTGCTCCATCCCCGCTCATTCCCGCTCCATTCCCTGCTCCACTTCCTGCTCCATTCCCCGCTCCATTCCCGCTCCATTCCCCGCTCCATCGCTGCTCATTTCCTGCTCCATTCCTGCTCATTCCCCTCTCCATTCCCTGTTCCATCCCTGCTCCATTTCCTGCTCCATTCCCGCTCCATTCCTGCTCCATTCCCGCTCCATTCCTGCTCCATTCCCACTCCATTCCCATCTCCATCCCCCTCTCCATTCCCTGCTCCATCCCCTCTCCATCACCGCTCATTCCTGCTCCATCCCCTCTCCATCCCCTCTCCATTCCCTCTCCATCATCGCTCCATTCCCTCCACACCCCATCCCACCCCTCAGTGAATCCCGGCTCTCCTCCGAGCCCTCATCCCCCCCGGAGCAGCACAATGAGGGCTCGGGATGGGAACAGCGGGGCAGTCATGGATCGGGAATCCCGGCGCCTTCCCGGAGCTGGGACAGACGCGGCTTTGTGCGCTCGGTGCCGGGGCAGCGCCGAGTCCATAGAGCAATATTCGCACAGGCGGTGCCCTCCTGGCACAGAGGGGCCTTTGTGTCCCCAGCACGGCCACAGAGACCGGGGACAAACCGAGCGCGGCGTCCCGGAGGGGGATGTGCCGTTCCAGGGATGCTCCAGAGGGGTTATCCAGGCCTGGATGGGCGCTGGGAGCTCGGCAAAAGCTCGGCCGTGCTGTCGGGGGCGGGATCGGGCCGTGCCCAGCGCGGCTTGGGGCGGGGTGGCGGTGCCAGGGGGGAGATGGAAGTGCCAGGGGTGGATGGATGTGCCCATTCCCGATGGGATATCAGTGCCAGGTGGGGATGGAAGTGCCAGGGGGGGATGGATGTGCCCATTCCCGATGGGATATCAGTGCCAGGTGGGGATGGAAGTGCCAGGGGGGGATGGATGTGCCCATTCCCGATGGGATATCAGTGCCAGGGGGGATGGAAGTGCCAGGGGGGGATGGATGTGCCCATTCCCGATGGGATATCAGTGCCAGGTGGGGATGGAAGTGCCAGGGGTGGATGGATGTGCCCATTCCCGATGGGATATCAGTGCCAGGTGGGGATGGAAGTGCCGGGGGGGATGGATGTGCCCATTCCCGATGGGATATCGGTGCCAGGTGGGGATGGAAGTGCCAGGGGGGGATGGATGTGCCCATTCCCGGTGGCGGAGATGTGGGATTTGAGCTTTTCCAGGCGCTGTCGGTCTGCCTGCACTCGTGAGGACAGACACACGGACAGACAGACAGACAGACAGACAGACAACCTCTCCCGGCCATCCCCAGGCGCTGGGAGCAGGAGGCGGCTGCAAAAGGAGACGAGGACAGCACTGGGAGCTGCTGGGGAACAAGGGCCTGGTCAGGAAGCGCTTCTCCAAATCCCCAAATCCCCAAAAAAATCCCAAATCCCCAAATTCCAGCTCCACGACCCCCAACCCCCGCTCCAGGAAAAGCCAGGCTGGGACAGGAGCTGCGCCCCGGGGACAGCGACAGGGGACAGGCAGGACCCAACCCCGAGCCTCAGGGGGGTCACCAAGGGGAAAAACCCCCCCCATCCAGGCGGGCAGGAAAACCTTTTCCACCCGGAGGCTGCCGGTGGCGGGATGGGATCTGCCGCTGTCGCTGCCGGCAGGAAACCGAGTTAAAACTCCTCAGGGACCTTTTGGCACCGCGCGGCTCCGAGCCTTTCACAGCTGAAGGGCCAGGAAATGCGGATCCTGCTCAAACCCAGCCAAGTGACGGCTGATGAGTTCTCAAATCGCACAAAAAAAAAAAAAAAACACCCCCAAAAAAACTCCTCAAAGCCCGAGCAGAAGAAGAAGAAGCCGGAGGTGTCGAGGCAGCTCCGGGGATGGCTCAGCCTGCTCGGATCTCTGCGGGCAACATCTGCCGAGCCTGGCATCGCCCTCCTCGCTGGCAGCGCCCGGCACCGCTCCCAGACGGGAGCTGCCAAGCGATGCCAGGTGGAGCCGAGGCAATTTTGGCACCCGCAGGTCCCCTCCAGCCTCCCACGGCCCCGCTCGCATCCCAAGCTGTTCCCGCGGCCGCCCCGGCACCCTCTGG